AGCTCCATCACAGCCGTGAAGGCATCAGCCACCAAGCCTACACGCAACTCCTTCCTGCACTGCAGCAAGCCAGTGGCATTTAATTAATTTCAATTAATTACCAATTAACTGATTAATTAGCTAATCTCCTGTGCTAGAAAAGCTGGGAGCCACAGGGTCTGCTGGTGGCACACTTGCCTGAGCATCGCTGTTTGAGGCAGTGCAAGCTGTGCCCTACGCTGCTGCCGGCACCCGGGTGGGAGGGTGGCAGAGAGCCCAGGAGCCCCGGGCTGGGACCGGGGTCCCCGGGAGCTGCTGGCCCAGCAGCCCCCACCCTGACAGCTGCCCACCTTGGCAAACCTTCGCATGTAGTGCCCAACAATCTGGGGGTCGGGGCACTCAAGCTTCTTGATGATCTCGAAGCTCTGGTTGAGCTGGGAGAAGACATCCACCACGGAGCAAGAGAAGAGTGCATGCTCTGAGGTCTGCTGGAACTGGGGGAGCGAGAGGCAGTGTCAGCACTTTTTGGGAAGAGCCCCTCACCCACCCCCGGCTGCAGCTCCTGTGCCCGCTGACAGCCCTGTTCATACCCCATCCTTCTTGTCCCGCTCCAGCGCTCCATGCAGGAAATCCCGTGACACCTCTTCGTTTTCATCCAGCCACTGGATAACGAAGGGCTCAAACCAGCTGGAAGAGAGGCCCCATCCCCAGTGAGGCCGGCCAGCCCCGGGGCACAAGCACCCCCTCCCCTGCCCCGGGGGCTGCACTCACGCGGGGTACTCGGGGACGCGGCTCTTGAAGGCGGGCAGCTCGGTGACGTACTCGTTGTACAGCCACTTCACCTTGAAGTGCAGGTTCATGTAGTCAGCGCTCTTGCACAGGCGGTGCTTGTCGTGCTCTGTGTGGGGAAGGCAAGGGCGCACGGGGGTTGCTTTGAGCCCCAGACCTGGGGAGCGGCCACCCCAAGGGCAGCGCCGGGGATGCCGGGGTAACGAGGTGAAGACGGAAGTGCTTCTCGGGCGGGCTTTAAGCTAGCCAGCGTGTTGAGGGGGGGCTGAAATGGGTCTGCCCAGGGAACAGGCGAGGTGGGAGCAGAGCGCAGCTCCTGCCCGTTGCCCCTCCCGGCATGGGGGGACTCACCCTCCATCGCATACTTCATGTCCTGAGCAAAGAGGTTCCACATCACCTCGGCACTGATCTTCCCCACGTTCAGCTCTTGGGGGAACCTGGGGCAGGCGGAAAGCACGAACATGGGGTGGACCAGCCCTCCTCATGGAGATACCTCCCCCACGCATGTCCCACCTGCCTCAGTTTCCCTATCTGTAGAATGGATGTTAGAACCCACCCCCAAAGGACTAAAGCTGCCGTTGCCGCCGCGGGTGCATCCCCCCGGCTGCGGAGCAGGGTCCCCTTTCCCAGCACCTACTCACTGGTTCAGGCAGGGCGTGTAGGAGTTCTTGTCCTCCTCGATAATGGAGACTATCAGGGTGATGAGCTTGGACCAGAAGTCCAGGTTTTTGATGCTGGGGCCCTGCTCCTCGGGGGGGACCTCGCCTTTCTTGGTCTGCAGTGATGGGAGCAGAGCAGAGGCTCCGGTCACCCCACCTGCAGGGCTCGACTTCATGGTGGGGCTGACGAGGAGGCAGGAGGGCTCTGGGGACACCCTGGGGCCCCCACACAGCCCCCCCCCCGCCTTGTCCAACCCCAGTCCCACCTCTGCAGCAGTGGGGCTCAAACCCTGTCCAAGGCTTGGGGCTCATTCTGCGTGGGGCTGGGCGCTCTAGTGCGGGAGCAGGAGCCTCATGCAAAGGATGGATATGGATGAAAAGCTAGACATGAGCCGGCAATGTGCGCTGGCAGCCCAGAAGGCCAACCGTATTCTGGGCTGCATCAGGAGGAGTGTGGCCAGCAGGTCGAGGGAGGTGATTCTGCCCCTCTACTCAGCTCTGGTGAGACCTCACCTGGAGTACTGCGTCCAGCTCTGGAGCCCTCAGCACAAGAAGGACATGGAACTGTTGGAACGGGTCCAGAGGAGGGCTACAAAAATGATCCGAGGGCTGGAGCACCTCTCCTATGAGGACAGGCTGAGAGAGTTGGGCTTGTTCAGTCTGGAGAAAAGGAGGCTACGGGGAGACCTGATTGCGGCCTTCCAGTACCTAAAGGGGGCCTATAGGAAAGATGGGGAACGTCTTTTTCATAGGGCCAGCTGTGTTAGGACAAGGGGAAATGGTTTTAAACTAGAACAGGGTAGGTTCAGGCTAGAGGTAAGGAAGAAATTTTTTACAATGAGAGTGGTAAAACACTGGAACAGGTTGCCCAGAGAGGTAGTGGAGGCCCCATCCCTGGAAACATTCAAGGCCAGGTTGGATGGGGCTCTGAGCAATCTGATCTAGTTAGCAGTGTCCCTGCTCACTGCAGGGGGGTTGGACTAGATGACCACTAGTGGTCCCTTCCAACCCTAAACATTCTATGATTCTATGATTCTAAGA